GCTTAGAGTCAACTCACTTATTGACTTTTTTTTAGCTTATTTTTTTAACAGATTTTAATTTATTCTTTTTAAAAAAAGAGCTAACTCTTTCGTCTTATATCCACGAGTCAAAGGATCGAGTCGAGCATTGTTTGTGGACTCCTAAGGCAAGGCAAGGCGAGCGGAGCTCAGGTGTTTTAAGGCCACACGTGAATCTCAATACAATTTTGTCAATTAAGATCAGCCTTAAAAATTTTGAAGCCCTTGGCGATAAATTATCATGAGCCCTACAAATAAATTTTTTTACAAGTGTATTAGCATTAAACATAATCGAATGAAACAATTTCTCGTGATGAGGAACACTGTACCTATGGTACACACCGTTTATTTCGGCCGAGAATTAATTTTCATGTTCAAGAAATAGAATATAAAGGATTTTAGGAAACCATTAAGGTATGAGAGTGTGTCTACTTTTGATTGTCCAAAATATTCTATATTTAAAAGTAAAAATTTCGAAAGCAACAATCAGAACATGAATTAAAATGCATTATTGAGTAGGAAGACACATTATTTGCACAACTACATATATATGTAAGAAAATTTCACAAATAAATAATTTTTTTGGGCTTTCAAATTTTTGAGGCCCCCTTATCTCAAATACAGTGGGTCTGTTGTCAATGCACTTTTATGTGGTCCAGCCTAAAATTATTGAAGAAAAAATGCCTAGTAAGTTGTTAGTGCATGTCTGGTAAAACCTAAATTTTTTACGGTAATCAAACACACTTTTTATCCACATATTTCATAGAATTCATAGTTGAGTAATCGTACTTATCATCTGCACACTCTATAAGACTCACAGTTTACAAACACTAAAAATTGAATTTAGCATTGCCAAGTATGCAATTAGCATTGTCCGATAATACTCCATAATAAACATGTGCAAAAGGTATACTCATAACATCTCCAATCATGATGTAAAATAGAGATTTAGATCTCCAAAATGGTAGGAAATCTTTTCAATGGAGAGATATAAAGAAGATGGAAATTACATTTTTCGGCAGAAAACATAAAAAAAGATGTAAATTCCGCAAGAAGTAGAAAAACGAATTAGATCTTTATATTGGAGCGACATTTGAATTTAGATTTACCAGATGTAAATGAGGATGAAAAAGTGATTTTTGAGATATCAACTTACACTCAATTTTACACCACCGTGAGCATATCATGAAAGAACTGGAATGGAAGTCCAATAACTATACCCATTGGGTTTGGCTCTTTACTGTCATGAACCAACGAATTCATGTATAATAAAATCTCAGTTTTGAGAAAAGGAATACAATTTTTAGGCCTTGTATGCATCTCATTTTTCTCAAAATTTATTTTCAACCACACATTTTTTCATAAATTCAAAATTTTTTTTTTTTTTCTTTTTAACCACACATTCTCCGAAATTTTTTTATTCCAAAACATGTTTCCCTCAAAAATAAGATTTAAAAAAAGGCTAGAGAATCAACTAATGTTCTTGAAAAGTAGGACGACAAGGTGCAAAAAACATTATACTGTGGAGGCATGTTGCGAGGCGCATAGGGAAGGATGGGGACTAGATTTTAGCCCAATACTGCTCTCCTGAAGCCCATTTAACTGGTAATGTAAAAAAATAATAATAAAATTCTTTGGATTTTTTATTTTTTCCGATGCATTAGTCCAGTAGAAATTATGTTTTTAACCCGGGAAGTTTTACATGTATATAATAGTCTACATAATAGTGTCCATAATTATATGTGGCATTGGATCCAACCTTTAATTCAAATTTCGCACTTGCACATCAACAATCGAATTATTGTCACATCACATTATGTACACCATTATATGAAATAATTATGTACTAATAAAATTTTCCTTTTAACCCCTAGTGGCTGACCCCCTGCAAGTTGCCATAATCTGTAAGGAAAGCGTTGACTTGTTTGGCAAAGTAAATTACATGGCAAAAGAAATTGTTACTGATTATACATAAAAACAATTGACAAACGAGTTGAATATCCGTGAAATAACACCATAAAGTATGATTTTATAACACGTCGTGTTCGTTAATATTTTGTAAACAAACGAGTTATTCTTGATAATACATAAAAATAAAAAAATAAAAAATATATATATTTAATATTACAAACACAAGATTACCTTGATTCCAATTGGATCGAATTTCTAGTTCAAGACTTGTAGCAAACTCGGTCCAGGGGAGATTTAGAATGGCCCGGCTCAACTAAGAGTCGTTCGCCAGAGGCCCCATATATTTTCTTGTACTATTACTAGTCTATCTCTCGTATTGTACGAGCATGATTATTTTGAACGTCATATTAGCGTTTTTAATATTGATATTAATTTATTATTTAAAGAAGAAACGATTCAATTAGTTATAAAAATAATCATTTGAGGTAAGCTATTTGTGATATTAATTTTGAAATTGAATGATTCAATATAGTAATGATAAAAATGAATAGTTTAGTTTTGTGCAAAGAAAAGCAATAATTTCCACTAGTAGAAAAAAATTGAAATAATTTTAAATCAAACAAATTTATATTGAAAAAATTTTGAATAGAAAAAAATTTCTCCTTTGAAAGAGAGAAAAGTAGTAATTGAAAAAAATTAAGTTTAATCATAAAGAGAAAAGAATTTAAAATAAATTTAAATAGAAAAAAATTATCTATAATACAAACAAAAAATTTTTAAAAATAAATTAATCAGTAATTTTCACCAGTAGAAAATTTGAAATAATCTTACATTGAACAAATTTATATTAAAAAAATTAAATAGAAAAACATTGTCCTTTGAAAGAGAGAAAAATAGTAATTGAAAAAATTAAGTTTAATGAGAAAAGAATTTCAAAAAATTTAAATAGAAAAAAAATTATCTATAATATAAACAAAAAATTTAAAAATTAAATAAATAAACAAAATAAATTTTCATCCATTGAAAGGAGAGACAATCTCTCCGTGGATGGAGATATGCTCTCCGTCCACGAAGAGTATTTTTTTCCTTAATTTTTATTTAAATTTGTTTTGTTCATATTATAAATTTTTTTTATTTTGGATTTAAAATTCTTTTTAATTCTTTTCTCTTTTATGATAAAATTTATTTTTTTATTTTAATTAAATAATATTAATATATTATTTGTTTCATTTTTGTAACTCTAATTTGTTTAATATTTTTGTTTAATTACATAATTTTTTTAAGTTTATTTTGTTCATATTATAAATTTCTTTTTCTTTTTATATGTTGGGCACATTTTCTCTCCTTAAAGGAACTATAAATGGGTGATACATACATCTTTGAACTACTGAATAAATCAACAATCCTCTTTACAAATACAAACAACAACAGAACTATAAACACAACTAACTGGACCAAAAAGACTACAAACATAACCAAAACAAACTCTTGTAAACACAGAAATAAAAACTACGTATCTTAAATAAACCTTAAAAAACGGAAATACAAACAAATTTTTTTTTTCCAAGAACATACGCAGAGCCGGTCCTGTGATTTATGGGCCCTGAGGCGAAGCGTGTAAAGTAGGCCCCTAGCGAAAGCAATTTAAATATAAAATTCAACGGTATATTATGCGATCTATTACTAACTTAAAAAACTAACATTAAAACAACAACTAAATATATTATAGTAACGATTTATATTATAAACCATCAAAACCAACAATGTTTCAAACAATTAGTTGAATACTATTCGTCTTGCCGTTTTAGAGGCAAAAACATCAATCAAATCTGAATAATTTAGCTGCCCAACCATTTCTTTTTCTATTGATAACATAACCAACCCGTTTAATCTTTCTTGTGACATGGTTGATCGAAGATAGATTTTGATCAACTTCAATTTTGAGAAACTTCTTTCCGCCGATGCAACTGTAACCAGTATGGTTAACAAAATTTTGTAAGCAATATAAGCATTTGGGTAACAAATATTGTGAGTTTTCAAATATTGCAGCACTTCAATTGCTCTTGTTGCTTCATTTGGTAAATAAATTTTCAAGACTTGTAACTCCGAACATAAATCATCTCCACTGATGTCCGAACGCCCATCATGTTCAAGATATTTCTCAAGATTCATACAAGAGTTCAACAAACTTGATAAAGTTGCATCCCTTAACCTTTTCAAATTAAACAAAAATCCAAATATGTCATCATATTATTTGAATTGTTCAAATCGACCCCTCAGAGAAGATAGAGCTTGATCAATTATAAAAACAAAGTACTCAACTCTAAAAGATTCTTCTGCTGATTGCTTTACCTCATCACTACCGCTTTCATCAAAATGTTTTTTCCTTCGAATTATGATTTTTTCCTGTAAATACAGCTTCAATTTCCATTTCATTTGCCTTTTTTGTTGCTTCATCCATAGCAACGGAAAATCCGATTTCTCTATAATCTTCAAAAAATAAAACAAGTCCTTGCAATAGATCGATAGCATGATCAATATCCATGGATTCAGTTTGAAGAAATTTACTCACAATATTAACTGCATGCAACAACCTGTACCAGATTACTATGCCAAGCAAGAACTCAAAATTCTGAAGTTCATGTGTTGCTAACGATTCGGCTTCACTCTTCACTTTAGGATCTTCGTTAGATTCTACCAAATCAAGTAAGGCTTCTCTTATCTGTGCAATTTGCTCCATTATAGGCTTCACACTCTCAACATGACTTTCCCAACATGTTTGTGACAATGGCTTTACCGTCAACCCTTTTACATTATCTTTGAAAATTTTCCATCGCTTGGTAGAAGAGGAAAATAAAGTGTAGATGCGTTGTATCACTCCGAAGAAGGATACAGCTTTGAAACAACAATTCACCATATTACATAATGCTAGATTTAGACTATGAGCACTACATGGAGTATAGAAAGCTCGGGGATTCATTTCATGTACCCTTTTTTGTACACCTTTGTGCTTCCCGCTCATGTTAGATCCATTATCATACCCTTGCCCTCTAATGTCATCAATATCCAGATCAAATTTGATCAAAAGCCTTTTGAAGCTCGGTTGCAAGTCCAAGTCCTGTTGTGTCATCTACCTTCAAAAATTCAAGCCAATGTTCCTCAACTGTAGGTAAGTTTGCTGAATCATATACAAATCATACTATTAAAGACATCTGATCCTCACGACTTGCATCTGAAGTACAATCAAGTATAATCGCGAAATATTTTGCATCTTTAACTTTCTTGATAATTGCATTTCTCACCTCATTAGCCAACAACTGTATCAACTCATTTTGGATTTTTTTTGCCAAGATACGTGTATTGAATCTCTTTTGCATTAGCCCGCCGAAGGTGCTCTTTCATTACTGGATCAAACTCACTAACCATTTCCACCATTTGTAAAAATAGGCCATTATTCTCAACATTTAGTCTCTCATCATCTCCTCGAAATGACAAGATATTTTTGGCGAGTCTTTTAATAATAGCGATTATCCTTGTTAATACATGCCTCCAATGTTCTCTTTCTGGATCGATCAACAATTCAACACTTTTATCAATTGTAACTTTTGTTCGAAGCCTATTTTCCAATTCAATCCAGTCAGTCATGCAACATAAATGGTCTTCATTTCCTTCATGACTTTTAATAGACCGATGCAAATTATGCCAATCTTTGAATCCATCATTACCTAGTTGGCCAACTTTGGTCACATTTTTGGATGTTTTAAATAACTTGCAACAAAAGCAGAAGATCATGTCCATAGATATTGAATATACTAGCCATCTTCTATCAATTGTTTGCCCATTTCGTAGCAGTCGCTTATATTGTGAAGAATCGAAATGTCTATTTGTACAATCTTTTGGAAATGAGATGTTATCAACTCTTTTTGGACCCCTTTCAACCAAGTAATCTCTTGTTTTCTGATCAATGATTTTCCAATTCCCGAGATCATCCAAATTTAGAGAAAATGAACACTCTTCTTCCTTATCATCTTCTTCATTATTAGAGGCCGGTTTCATCAATTCTTCTTCTTTATCATCTACTTCATTAACATAGTCAAGTTGACTCACTTCTTCATCCGTACTATCTACTTCATTAACATGGGCAGGTTGAATCTCTACTTCATCCTCATTCAACGCATTCACATTGTTGCTTTTGAAGTACTTGTTAATATCCCCTACTTGACTTTGAATCAATGCAATTTCATTTCGTTTCCTTTTCCTCTTTTGAGCACCAGACTCATATTTAGGAGGCATAGTGTATGAGTCTGTATCTAATGTCCAATGATTATCCTAAAAATCAATTACAAAATATTTCAATCATCACACAATTACAATTTCCAATACAATTACTATGTGCGCCTGTGCAATTGTTCATCCCACAATAACTAATCATATAAGCCGACCAGACTGCAATTATATAAGCCGACAAGGTTTCAAACATTTTCAATCTCTTTAATAACAAGTTAGGGCAAGCCATTACTTACCTGAGAAGTGAAATTTTGACGATAATTGTGGAATTACACCGTCGAGTATGATCTCGTCACAACTCACAAGCCTGAAACAAAAATTTATATAAAATTATATATGATGTCTAAGATTGCCAAGCGTAAGATCTAGTGATGAGGGAATTAAGAATATTTAAGAGCGGCAAGCCTTGATTTTATTGTTCGGTTTTAGTTAGTTGTTCTCGATAATTAGTTAATATTTGACGTTTGAATACATAAGACTTTTATAACCATTACATTCAAAATTACAATCCTTACAAACTTGCTAAAAAGTTAATTTGTTTAATGAAATATGGTAGCAGAGCCACTTCGGGTTAAGCACCGTTTCTATCAACTAAAAATAATTTTGCAATATTAATGGAATATTGAAGGCCAAAATGTTCTATTTCAAAAGTTGGGGACTAACTCTCTATTTACACATATAAACTCTACCATTCAGCATATTACTTTACAGAAGATGGCAAGCTCTTTACAGAAGATGGCAAGCTCTTTATGTATTACTGCAACAGCTTCTTTACAGAAGATGGCAAGCTCTTTATGCATGTTTTCTGTTCTTTCAGTAATCAAGATATATCATTTTTAAAATCCTTATTGCACCTTCCCAACAATTACCTTTTAACAGATCCTTCATCATGTATGATCTATTTGTTTAAATAAAATAATAGGATAGGGCAAAGAAAGAAATTGTAATAAAAAAGAGGAAAACCCAAAGAGGTCCGACTTTGGAAAAAAAAAAGAGGTCCGACTTTGGATTTGTGCGCTAGAATAATATACAAACAAATTAATTGTGGCTAATGATTATATGCATACACGATGCTATTAAATTGATAATATTATCACTTATGCCTCTTATATATAATTGGTTGACAGAAAATTTCTAGAATTTTGAATTTTAGAAGACACGTGCTCATCACACGACCATGCGTAGAGGCTAGAGCAAATTTGTTTGACTTTCAATTGTCCCTCAAATGAATGAACCGAACCACAAAGGAAAGCAGAGACATAAAAAAAGTCAGAAAAGTTCTGCCTTATTTATTTTCCCAGCCCAATTCACCTGTGCTATCTGTGAAATTGAAATCCGATGAAGATGAAAAATCATACAACTTATTCACAAATCCCAAAACATTCGAAGTTTCAAACTACTGGCAAGAAACTGAGAAGGTAGCAGGCAAGAATCACAAATGAAAAATCATACAACTTATTCACAAATCCCAAAACATTCGAAGTTTCAAACTACTGGCAAGAAACTGAGACGGTAGCACAGTCGCACAGGTTAAAGTAAGAGAGCGAACCTTGTGCCAGGAATCACCCCAGTCGGCAGTCACCTGACTCACCTCCGTTGGATTTGCTCGAGATTTATCAGAAGATTTATTTGCACCACTTCGTGAACGCCTGAACGGTGAACCAGAGACCAAGATTGAAGATCCAACGGGTTGAACACTTGAACTTTGAAGCTATTTTGAGTTAGGGCTTGGGGAATGGGGCTGCTGTATATGATCTCGTTTTTCAATTTGAGCTGGTCTTTTTTTTTCTTTAAAAAAAAAATTAATTGGACCAAAACGAGGCCCCCTATGGTCCTGGGCCTGAGGCGCGGGCCTCACTCGCCTCAGCCCAGGACCGGCCCTGAACATACGCAAAGATAATTGTCACAAATTCTACGATTTTCTTCCCTGCGATTTGAGATGAGGACTAAGCGATATTTTTTTCCCCACAAAAAGAAACAATAATTTGGAGAGTTTTTCGTACATGAAAGCTACTCGATTGAACTGAATGAGAAAAAATTAGTGACTTGAAAGAGTGATACATAGCATATTACTTTATTTTTTTTATAATATAATAAATAAATCAAACCACTTTGACCAAATCCATTTCAAATCAATTGAATGTGAAAATGCATGTGATAAAATGAACAGTCCAGTTTTGTATAAAAAAAATCGGTAATATCCATCTTCACCAATAGAAAAAAAATTTAACTATAAAAAAATTAATATTGAAAATTTTTTAAATAGAAATAAATTCTCCTTTTACGGAGAGAAAAAGTAATTGAAAAAATTAAGTTTAATCATAAATAAACAGAAAAGAATTCATAGAAAATTTAAAATAGAAAAAAATATCTATAATATCAAAATAACAAATTACAAAATGAATAAATAAGAATATTTTTTCGGAAACTTAAATTTTTTCTGCTTCGTGCACGAAGTGAATATTCACCATGTGCATAGATTTTTAAATAAATATTTAGATATATTTAACTTTTTTAATTTAAATATTAATAAAAAATATTACACTATCTAGAATGTAAAAAGATCCTTATAAGTAAAAAATTTACTTCAAGTTATTTATAAGTAATAAAAAAATTTATAATTGTAAAAACTGCTTATATATAATAAAATATTAATTTCAGCATTTTTAAGTAAATATTTAGATATATTTAATTTTTTAAATTAAATATTAATAAAAAAATTTACTATAATTAAAAACTATAATTAAAAAAAAAGATAAAGATAAAATAAAATAAAAAAACTATGGAGACACTCCATGCAAATTGTCCGTCCATGGAGTGATATATAATTTTTTTTTTAATTATAGTAATTTTTATTAATATTTAATTTTAAAAAATTAAATATATCTAAATATTTATTTTAAAATCTTAAGTTAATATTTTTTATCTATCAGTAACTTTTACAATTATAAGTTTTTTATTACTTTTATACAACTTGAATTAATTTTTTTACTTTTAAACAACTTTTTACATTTTAGATAGTATAATATTTTTATTAATATTTAATTTAAAAAACTAAATATATCTAAATACTTATACTTAAAAAATTTTAAATTAATATTTTTTTAGTTATAAATAGCTTTTGCAATTATAAGAGAATAAGGGATTAATATTTTTTTACTTATAAGTACCTTTTATAATTATAAATTTTTTTATTACTTTTAAATAATTTGAAGTACTTTTTTACTTATAAGTAACTTTTTTATATTCTAAATAGTGTAATATTTTTATTAATATTTAATTTATAAAACTAAATATACCTAAATATTTATACTTGAAAAATTTTAAGCTAATATTTTTTTACTTATAAGTAACTTTCATTATTATAAGTTCGTTTTACCTTTAAAACACTTTAAGTGATCTTTTTAGTTATAACTTTTTACATTTTAGAAATAAAAAATAACTTTTATATATAAAATTATTTTAAAAATTATTATTACTAATAAAATTATAGGATATGGTCGATAGTTAATAGCGTGAGAAGATGAAAAAAGAGTACCGTGTGTCAGATTCAAAGCATGTAAGTTGCAGGTAAAATATAAAACGACGTCGTTTCTGCTCTACCAATTATAAAAAAAAGCTACAATATGACAAAATATTATTTAAAAAAATATTACTACTAATAAAATTATAGTATATGATTAACAGATGATAACGTAAGAAAATGAAGAAAAGAGCATTGTGTGTCAAATTCAAAGGACTAAATCAGTTCAATGTGAAAATCAATGTGACAAAAATGAACAGTAAAATAAGGAGGGATAATATAATAAAAAAATCACTTTGACAAAACCCATTTCAAACCGATTGAATATGAAAACGCATGTGACAAAAATGAACCATTCAGCTTTGTGCAAAAAAAAAGTAGTAATTTCCACCTTTACTAATAGAAAAAAATTTTAAAATTGTTAAATAGAATAAATTAATATTGAAAAAATTTAAATAGAAAAAAAAATCCTCCTTTCATTGAAAGAAAAAATAATTGAAAAAATTAAATTCAATCATAAATAAAGAGAAAAAAATTCATAAAAATTTTAAATAGAAAAAAATTATCTATAATATCAAAATAACAAATTACAAAATAAATTACAATATGAATAAATAAGAAAAAATTTCCAAACATAAATTTTTTTATTTTGCTCCGTACATGGAGTAAATATTCACTCGGTGCATAGATTTTTAAATAAATATTTAGATATATTTATTTTTGAATTAAATATTAATAAAAAGATTACACTATCGAGAATGTAAAAAATTATTTATAAATAAAAAATCACTTCAAGTTATTTAAAAATATTAAAAAACTTTTATTGTAAAATGTACTTACAGATAATAAAATATTAATTTTAACATTTTTAAGTAATTATTTAGATATATCTAATTTTTAAAATTAAATATTAATAAAAAGATTAACTATAATTAAAAAAATAAAAAATAAAAAAATTTGCATGGATGCATGGACATGGACATGGAGTCCGTGCACGGAGTATCTCCTCCACAGTCCACTCCGTGCATGTAGTGTTAGTGTTTTTTTTTTTTTTTTTTTTTTTTTTTTTTTTTTTTTTTTTTTTAAATTTTTTTTTTTTTTTTTAAAAAAATTTTTTTTTTTTCCAATTACAATAATTTTTTTAATATTTAATTATAAAAAATTAAATTTATCTAAATATTTACTTAAGGATGTTAAAGTTAATATTTTTTTATCTATAAGTAGCTTTTAAAATTATATATTTTTTATTACTTTTAAATAACTTGAAGTGATTTTTTTTACTTACAAATAATTTTTTACATTCTAAATAGTGTAATCTTTTTATTAGTCTTTAATTTAAAAAATATATATATTTTACTTATAAATAGCTTTTGCAATTTTAAGAGGAGGAATTAATATTTTTTTTTACTTATAAGTAGCTTTTACAATTATAAATATTTTATTACTTTTAAATAAATTGTTTTTTACTTATAAGTAACTTTTT